AAAATTCTGGTAAAATTACCTTACAATGTGGCAGTGACATTTCTGATAAACAAAAGCCATAATTCTGGTTTTTAAGACCAAAATATACTATACTTAAACTATTTATATGGTATTTTTTCCTTTTATAAGGCTTATAAAATTATGGCTATTATTAAATTATGATTACACACTTAATAAAAAATACAAAAGTGAAAAGTAAGTTTGACTGAATAAATGGATTTTATGTAACGCTCTAAGGAAAGATGATAAAATTACCAAATTTTACCACACTTTCCAAATTCTACCTCATATTATAAAACCATAGTTTATTGTTAATTTTAAGAAAATCATTGCCGAAGTGCTACGACAAAAATTACCGTACTTTTAGTTCCCATAGAGCCAGTAAGGTTTACACTATTCTGGTAGATTTGAGTGTATTTTTTTTAAATAAAAAAATAAATTATTTACTTAAAAGCAAAATTATTTGAGAATTGGTTGTAGTACGTTTAAAAGACACGTAAAAAAATTTCATTCCATTTTAATGACAACCATGTTTAATTAATTTTAATTATAGCTCTTGATTGAAATAAAAATTAAGTATATTCTAAAAAGCAAAATTAATGGCGAAAATTAGTATATATTGGCTGTAAGTAAACACCATACTATTATTGGCATACTAAAATAATGCTTAAGTAATTTTGGCAGTAGATACAAATTGAAATAAAAGGAATAGCTACGTACCTGAAATAAAAATAATGAAAAAACAGTAGTTATTCTTTTAAGAAAAGCGTAAAATATCACGTTTTTATTTTTCCGGCAATCAGTGCTTAACTAATTCTGTTTATAATAGCAAACTGAAATTAAAATAAAAACTATGAACTAAAAAGCAAAGTTAATTGAGAAATGCTATTAATTCTCAACTAATTCTAATAAAGAGAATTGTATAAATTTACCATACTGTTATACAACAGCATGATGATTACTTCATTTTGGTACTAGGCACTATTGATGTTACGGTATCCAAGTAGCACAGGGATATTGTAATAGCTTTAGTCTACATCGACCGACATTGTCAATATTGGTGAAAATCGACATAGTGTGTACGATATTGTACGATTCCCATCGATTTCACATCAAAAGTCTGTTGTTGGTTGTCGTCGGATTGGTTTTCAAATCCTGGCTTTATACGTGTTTCAAGATGTCACAAAATACTTTTCCTTTGTCAGTATTCATATTTATATTAAAATCACCGTCAGGACAGTAATTACAAGTTAATAATAAAAAGAATATAAAAACACTTTGAATTATTATTATGTAAATACTTTAAAAATGCCTGCTGGTGAAAATAAAATGAAATAAAGCTTATAATAAGCTTATTTTTAAACCAATGTGGGCTAAAGGATACTATTATAATTAAAAAAAAGTATCAAACAGCAGCTGTCGCCATTGCAACGCATGCGATAACACTGTTTACTATTAATCTTGAACGCAGTTGAAAAGTGGGATGATATCCTAATAAGGTGCCCCCGCCATCAACTTCAAAACAATACCCATTTTGCCAATGGGCAATAAAAAAATTCATTTATCTTATTCTGGTATAAGACTTACAGTTTTTTTTAATCATTTTGAAGTGTTTTTCAATACTCACTTATTGATTATTTTCTTTTTTGTTTTCACCTCGTACGAAGAACGGGTTGTCAGCGAATATTAAATAATATTTAAAGCTTCGTTTCTGACCTCTACATTTCAAAACTGCTTACAAACGATAATAACCATCTACATTTTGTTCTTTAATTGTTTGTGAGAAACAGTGGAAATAAATTTTATGTAAGCTCTTTAGTTAATGAGACTGTCAATAACAAGCTCGTAAAGCCTTTCAGAAAATTTATTGTTCGATTGAAACATCATCGACTGACATTTATTCCTTTTACTGCTCCAGTAATTGAATGGACATTCGGTAGTTGCTTTTGAATGTCATATTTACACTCATATATTTAGTTAAGTTTAGCTCAACAATGATCATTAAATGTAGAGCAACTGTTCTAATGGATGTCATAATTTATGACATTCTATGATGATGTTATAGTGATCGTAATATTTCATGTTCGTTTCTAATGTTATGGTTTTCATGTTTGAAAAACATCATTTTACTGCTTTAATGTATTGTTTTAGTAATATCGTCAAGGTTCCGTTATTTAAACTGAAGCCTAACACTACTGGAATAATTAGTATTACGATGATAACTATGGCTAGTACATAAAAGATGTTATGAAGAGTTTCATCAAAAATATTATTTTGGTTAAACTCTTCATAACAGCTTAATTCATAACTCTTCTTAACAACTTTTAAACTCTTCAAAAACAGCATTATTTATAAAAATAAAATTTACTTCCTAGATAGTTAATGTTTAGTTAAAACATTAAAAAAAATACTTTTTTGATTAGTTGGTTTATAAAAAGATATTATTATTGATCTATTTTCAAAAATAGCTAGTCTCTGCAATTGTGTAATTGTAACTGGAGAAGTAAAATTATATTTCCTAACTCTGTGATATTAATCATATTTAATCTGATACCTATGAGAGGCATTACGTGTGCATGTCAAACTTGATTAGCTTCTGAATCGACAGACGCCATGATTTATCTACGAGGACGTCACTTTTAGGTATCGAATTTCAATAATATTTATTGATGTTGATTGACTGAAAATGATGATTAATTAATCTACAATTATTACACAATAAATTCAGCGAAAATTCTGTTTCTTTAATTGTTATGCTTAATAATTCAGAGCAGTCGATAATTTAATATTTATATAATTCATTAAATTTATTTTTTTATGCCAGAATAATTTTCTGGTGCAGTTTAGGCATTGGTAAAATAAAGTTTGAAAACTGAACATGCATCAAAATTTTCATATCTTATTTGACAATGAGTTGAAAACAATAATAAAATTTTTGAAACGGGATATTTTCTAGCAAAATATATTAATTCTCGTGCTTTAACGTAGCTTTCTCTCTCTTTCTCTAATGTTCTCGTAAGAAATATTATTTTGCTATCTTGATTTCCAACCTTCAGCGAATAAGGCAAAGCTAATAATTTTAAATAATAAAATAAGGATCATTTACTCGAGAGTTTGAAAAGAATAACTTTATTTAAAAAGGACTAGGCTGGCTGAAAATATTTTCACATTCAGAAAAAGAAATATCCAAACTAACAGAATATGATCACATTTACCGTGCTTTCAGCTCTATGGGAACTCCAAAAAGCCCGGCAATTTTGACCAAAGCACTTTGGTAGTGATTTCGGTAAAATTATCAACAAAATATAGTTTTTATAACGCATGATAAAATTCGGTAAAAGAGATAAAATTTAGAAATTTTATCATGATACTAAAGAGCAAGGCATTTATTCGATAATTTGTATTATTTACTAAATGGGCTGTAATAAAAACGATAATTTTTCGAAACCAGAAATTCTGGTAAGCCGTTTCCGTATGAATGGAAAATTTATCAAATGAATAGCTTAAATACCAAATATTTTGGAAATATCAATGAATATATATTAAGGAAAATTAATAGAAAATTTTCGTGTTTATTCATATTATTTTTTAACTTTTTATTTTCTTATCATAAAATATTACATTTCATAGAAATTTGAAGTATTTTTCAAAATTTTAAACATATATATTTTAATTTTTCATAGTAGATAAAGGGGAACTTTAATAGTAGAAATAACTGTTAACGACAAAAAAAGTTATTATCTTTTATTAAGTGTAAAAAATAGAATTTAAGCATTTGGTACGGGAGACAATAACGAGTGTTTATTGCCTGGCATAAATCAAGTAATTCAAATAAACGATTTAAGATCGTGAAAGTGCAATTTAGTTTGACTTTTTTTCTCTGCAAGGACAGATAACTTTATGCATTCAATTCTGAAAAATCACATAAAAATAATACTAGTTTTAAATGTATCAAATTCTAACCGTAATTTGAGTGAAATGATTTATAGAGTAATAAAAGGGAGCTTTAAAATGGGGCGTCTGATATTAAGTAAATAGAAGTAGTTAGTATTTCTAATATATTTCTATTCTAATTCTAAAAACAAATTAAAGTTTTTTTTCAATATTTTAAATTGGGAGTCATGGTCGAGTGTCGGTTTAAACGATAAACGTATTTTATAAACACACTGCTAAATTACAATTATAATTTAAAATTAAACATAAAAAAAGTGAATTTACTTGATGTAGAGATTAAATTTAAAAGTCTAATATAATATAATACTTTTTCAGTAGTTTATCTGCTTAACTTTCATATTTCATTGAGTTTTACTTATTTTTCTTTTACTTCAAAGAAATCAAACCACCTTTGCTTGCATATTTCTATTCATTACATAAGCCTACTTAACATATAAGCCAATTTATGGTTTCTTTAACTCTATAAAACATTTCACCGTTAAATAACGGTCAATAAACGGTAAGAATTTTCTTGTCTCTGACCGTTAAAATTAATTTGCATCCTATTAGGCTGTAAGGACCGTAAATAAACACAAATTATTTACATATCAAATACATTATTTATACATTGCCCGTAATTCCGTTCAAGTAAAGTATGTGGCCACGAGCTATATATTAAGATCTTATAGATAATTCCAGTTCAAGCTGTCGTGTTAGATAAGACTCAGACAATTTGTTTTTCGAACTAAGGCAATCTCGAACGTGACAAAGTAGTGCAGGAGTCATAAGTTCAGGAGTGAGAGAGTCGTGCTTTGATTGTCTCTGCTGCGAGGAGATATTTTAGGGTACCAGTTTGGATCAAACCCGTTGTTTAGGATGCAGGCTGCAACCGGAATAACTTAGCTTTTGCAAATTAAAAAGATCGTTTGATTGTTAAAGAAACATACAATATTTAACATATTGTTTTGTGATAGATTGTTCACAGTGTTGCCGTCTGTCTAGGGGTGGAAGAGTTGCATGTTCTTTGTCCGTGGTGCTATAGAGATGTGTTCAGGTGCCGGCTGGGATCAAACGCATGGTGTTAGATTCCAGCTGTTGACGAACCAACAGTCTATCAAGTTATTCAGTGCAACAGCTAATAGGAATGGGCTGCATGTACGTTCAAATACAACACGGAACACCATAATTTGTCTTTTTTCAAAGTCCTCCCACCACAAAAAATGGAGAGAATCGCTATCTTCATTTGAAACAGATATCTGGAGAAATGCCTTTCTGATGTCGGAAACTACGCCAATCGTATCCTTGTGGAATCTCCTTAATGTAGGTGGAATTTCTTGCAGAAGATTTGGGCCTTTCTCCAAACAGTCATTCGGTGACAGGTGCCCTTTTACATGACAAGAAGCATCAAATACAGGCCTTATTTTGGTTGGAGAATTCTCCCTTATAACGGCTCTATGAGGCAAGTAAATAGAGAGACGTTGATGTTCTTCTTCGGGTACTACTTCTATTATCCCTGATTCTTCCCAATCTTTGAAAACTGCATTGTGATCATTATACTTTTCTTCCCGTATGAGCTTCAGAGATGTCGAAATAAGTCTTTTCTCTGCAATGTCCCTGTTGTCAATAAACTCTCAGTTTGCTTCTTTCCAAGATAAATGGACCTCATAACGGCCAATTTCGTTTCATGAAAAAGTTTTGCTAAATAATCGACAGCTGCTGCTTCCATTTCTTTTCTGGATTTGGATTCAATAGGATCTTTTATACCAAGGATATCCATTTTCCAGAGATTGGCTATTGATGCGTTTGTTACAAACAATGAAGTTATCAGGTTGGTTGAGGTATGGTCAAATCTCTCTCCAGGCACTTTACCCATGACTATCCAACCCAAATAAGTTTCACACGCTATTAGGCCACATTTAAGCTTATGTATCCGCCCAGTGAAACGTTGGACGCAAAAATCAGCTCCTATTCAAATTTCTATATCAGAACAGTTTTCTCCATAATCTGTTATCCATATCTTGCTTTCTTGCAATTCCTTATTCCAGGAAACCTGTTTAAGTCTAGGGATCTTACTGCAAATTTTTGGATGATCCAAAGCTTCTATGTCACATGAAAAATTTCCACTTAGAGTTTCAAGATTTACTTTAAAGAGTTTATGATGCTTTTCCTTAGTATTAAATCCGCCAAACAATGCATATATGAAACTTTTCTTCTCTATTGGATCCAAGCCAAAAGTTTCAGCAGTACTTTCAAGTATGTATGACCTTTGCGATTCACTATCAATCAGAACTCGAACTTGGAGTGTTTTACCTTTTGATTTCAACTTCACAATTAATGTTTGAAGTTACACGTCCTCTGTACTGCAATGGCTTGTCAAACTAACTTTTGGCGAGGTCAACTCGGAGTTCTTTTCTGTTATTTTGTTAGCTGGCAATTCTGGACACATTAAAACCAAATGCCTTTTGCTACACAAAACACATTTTACTCGAGTTTTACAGAATTTTGATCGGTGTCCGATTTTCAAACATAGAAAACAACACTTCTCATTACGTAAAATTTCTTGCTTTTGTTCCCAATTAAGTGCTTGAGCGTGAAAGCATTCTTTACTGTAGAGCACTTCGTCACAAAATACACAAGGATGATTTATTTTCTTCTTTTCAAGTGTTCCCGAGTACAAATCATTAGCAGTAGTAAATTGTGGCGATTTCTCTTTTCGTTGGCGGCGTTCATTTTCAAAACTGAATTGCTCCAAACGATTTCGATCATTTTCGAAACTGGATTGCCTTGCTGGATCGGATCGTCTCCTTCTACTTCGGGTTTGAGAAATGCCAATAAACTTTTCATATTTACGCTGTAAACATTATTTGATGAATCATTTGCAATGGCGCCTGGGATTCTTAGCCATACCCTAAAAATGTCCTCCGGAATACACGATTCTACAAGTGGAAAAAGCATGGCAGCGTATTTCTCGGAGGTTAAGCCAATTGATTCCAGCGCTCTTAGATATGATTCTAACTTATCATACAAACTACTGGTGGTAATTTTATTTTTGGCTCCTTTTGCATTTTGAACAACCAGTTGAAGAAGCTGTCTCGCATAAAATTCAATTAACAACTCATCTCGCCCAAATCGGGTTTTATAAACTTTCAATTGCCTTTTTATAATTCTCACTTGTGGGCGGAGAACTATCTATTATTTCTTTAGCTCTTGTTCCTTTGCTGATGTATTGAATTAAGTATTGAAATTTATCCTTATTTTCTAATTCATTATCCTCGTGTTTTCTTTTAAACTGGCTCCAAAAGGAAAGCCAATCTTTTAACTCTGAACTAAATTTTACCAATTCCATTTTTGGCAATTTCAATTTCCTTTTCGTTGACAACGAACAACTATCTAAACTTGCACTATCTAAACTTGCGTTTTCGACAAAAAAACTCGAAATTTACTTCCACAGAAGCCATTTTTTCATTATATTCTTCGATAACATTATATTCATCATCGTATTTTTGCTGTTCGGAAGCATCTAATAACATGTCGCAGATTTCACTGTCCAATATCACCAAAGACTGATAAATTCTTTCAAGTTAGCGTAATTTACTTTAATATTTTCCTCCTGAGCATTTTCTTCCACCATTAATTTAGTTAATGCATTGTAAGTTTTGGTGAAATTGCCTCTAATTGGCGAACGCTTCTTAATCAAGAGTTCCATAATTTGAAACTTAATGACACAGAACCTTTTAAAGAATCACGTTCGTCGGTCACCACAATGTCATTAGCATCTCCCTGAATATTGTTTCATTCAGTCGTACTCAGCTTAGTTATTATCTGACTCCATTTAATTTCTATACTTTACAAGATTACAATAATTCTAGTAGAAAGTAACTTGACACGATGCATTAATTTTCACCATTTTCAACATTAGAATACAAACATCGTTGCCATTTTCTCTTTTAACAAATACAATAATTACAACTGAAAGAACATATAAAATAACTTTGTGACGTCAGATATATATTTACAAAAACTATCACTCTATTTTCCACATACAAGTAGTTTCCTAATATTCCTATACTAGGAGGCTTCGCCCCCTGCTCGCTAGCGCTCGCCAACCCCCTGAACTGCTTTCGCAGTTCATTTCTGATTGCTTCGCAATCCGATGCTCGCTTTGCTCGCTCATTGGATACGTTCTTAACGTCTAGCTTTTGTATAATTTTTTGAACACTGAAGTTCCGAAAACTTTTCACTGTAGAAAAATCTAAACCTGTGCATTTCAATATTAATTTGAAATTGCAAACAGTTCACACATTTTTCTTAATCTCACTATTCTAAATTATTTCAGTAGTTGAGAAAATTAACTGCTGTAAGTTTTGTTTTAAAGTCTATCCCACCAGAGAGCTAAAACCATGTGTTGTAAAACAATATGAAATAGTACTGAACGCCGGATGTAAAGCATCGGCTTCGATGAAGATAATTTTGTGAGAATTTTTTTGAT